ACGACACAAGCCAGAAACCCTACTCTAATTATCAAGGCCCCCCCATAGTAAACCCTGAAAACCCCCTCCAAAGGAGCCCTAAACCCTAAACCCTAAACCCTAAACCCTAAACCCTAAACCCTAAAACCAAAACCTAAAACCCTAAACCCTGAAGGCCCTAAAGCAGGATTCCATGATTGCTTGAAGCTCCCCCTAAACCCTAAACCCTAAAACCCTAAAGCCCAGGTGGATCTCCCGGAGGCTGAGGCCAAGGATGTCGCAGAGAAGCGCGCGGAAATGTACCGCCGTGCCACGAAGGCGGCCGTGCCGACCGGCCCGGTGCAAGTCGTGGTCTAGAGGAGGCAAGGAGGGGTCACTGGACATGTGTATATATATATATATATTCACATACAGACGTACACGCACACACACACACACATATATATATATATATATGTATATGTATATATATATATATATAAGTTGTCGATTTATGTATAAGCACGTGTGAAATGCTTGCTTATTCACTTGCTTTTGTGTTTCTGTTTTTCCTCTATGTGTATATATATATATACACAGAGAGAGAGAGAGAGAGAGTTTAGAAGCCTTGATTTGCTACGTCAGGACCAGAAGTGTCCGACAATCTTGACAGCTGCCAGTTTGGAGGCGCTTGGCTTCCTTCTGAGCTTCTTATCTTACACCGCATAGAGTAGAGATGCTATGAGAGGTGCTGTTCTCTGAGAAAAAAGCCGCCCTGGTCGAGATTGTGAGTTTCTATGGCGTCCGAGCGTGAGCTTCGAAGCCCCCTTGAACCTCGCCCGAAACCCCGTCACCCCCAAGCCCTAAACCCAGGGGTTTACGGTTTAGGGCCAGGGTTTAGGGTTTAGCTAGGGGTTCAGGGTTTAGGGTTTATTCAAAAGGGTCTAAACCTCCCGAAGTTGAAGGGGATCATCCGACAACGTGGGAACGATACAAAGAAGATTAACTTGGCCCCTGCGCAAGGATGACACGCACGAATCAAGAAGTGTAAGATAGGGGCCTTGATAATTCGAATAGGGTTTTGGGGGTATACTATACCATAATTATAGTAAGGAGCCCCCAAAACCAGATTCTAGTGAAGGCCCCTGCATTACCAAGTCGACACCCCGTTGGCTGGGCTAGAGGCGTCGGGCCTCTACCTGGCTTGGGCGAGTGCAAGTGGGTAATTCTCTAAATTAAGGTCCCTTTTAGGGTCCTTTTTTTAAAGAGTGCCGTAGTATATTATATTGGGGACCTAAATAAAGGGACCCTACTTTAGAGAACTACCCGTGTGCCGAAACCTCAAACCCCGCAGAACGCTGAAAAGCCCTTTAAACATCCTGCGCAGCACCATAAAGCATTCGCAAAGCGCTTCAAGAATCCTACGAAGGCCACGTAAGACCCCAGAAAGTGCTACGATGCTCTTCCTGGTCCGAGGTGGCCAACTTCACATGCGAGCCTTTGGCCCCTGACGTGGCGCTGGGATCTCTGAGCTTCGTGCAGGCACCGGGGGTTTCCATGTGCTGTTGCAGCACTTCAGCGGCCGGAGTCGTTCACTATGGACGTTTGAGGAAGGCATGAAGGTTTGGACCCACCTTCTTTCAGATTTCTCGCTCTGTGTGGGTATAGAGCATCAGTCCACAGAACAGCACAATGACAGAGAGTGGCGAGTCTCCTTCGTAAAGTTGTGTTCCCTCAGCTTTTGCTCCGAGTCGCCCGGCCCGGCCGTTCATGATGACTACAACCTGAACCCCAAAGGGTGTAGTGTAGCGTTCAGTAGCGGCTAAACTTCAATCCCAAACTACAGCGCATCTGCGCAGCCTGTGCCCCTTGCAGGAAGCTTCAGAGACGCAGGCGCGCGCTGAGTTCAGTTTGGGGCCAGAACAGTGATGACTGTCTGCAGGCATATGTAATCCCACAGTCCGAACCTGTTTAGGTCCTGAACTGCCTCGCTTCGAAAATGCCCCCCGCCAACTGTAGGGCTCTACACGCATACTCAGACACGAAGCCTTTCATCCCTCAAGCAAATTTCGGGGTTTGCATTCCGTCCCTGCGTCTCCTTCAGAACTCGGTGACCTACCGAGCCACAAAGCAGCATAGGTAAAATGCAAAGCTGTACAGAACTTTGCTTCTAAGTGAGTCTCCGTAAGGCCTAAACTACATAATTACGCAATCCATGCGCTCATTCATTCGTCTCTTTTCACGAAACTAGCAAAGAAGCTGAATGTCACAATCCCGAGTCACTCTCATGGAAAAACCCTGTTGGAAACCTTGGAGAGCAAAGCAGAAACGGCCTCTCTCGGAGGTGAAGAGGCGCGCCAAGCGGCTCGCCGCCCTGGCGGTGGGTGCCGATGGCACAGCTCGAGCTCTGCATGAGGAGGACGGGGGCTGTTGAAGCTTGAGAATCTAGTTCCTCATCTATGTCTCAGAAACCTTACATTATGGTAAGGAGAGATTGGGGAGGATATAGGTCTAGGGCTTCCTTCATCTTGGGATTTGGGGGTGTGTATTTCTAGAATCTTAGGGGAATTCAAACAGCTCTGTGGTTCGAGGGTGTTTGCTGGGAGTTTGTGAATCTGGTCCACAGCCGGTTTAGGGTTCAGGGGTTGAAGGTTATTGCATAAATGCAAGCGTATTCAACATCGCACAAGGTCCTTGCTTAGTAACTCGAATGGAAAACTTCATGAAGTCCTAAGCTACAGCATTGGATCACCTGAGGACCCACGGAGGACCAGAGAGCTGCGAACCTTTCCGAGTAAAACACTCTAAACCTGAAGCCCCTGAAGTTGCTATTCAACACAGAAGATGTCAAACTCCACATGCCAGGGCCTACTCACCACATGCCCTTAAACTCTAATCCCTCCTCGCCCAGAATTCCGTGAACGAGCGCCGAAGCCACAGCCCCAGGCTCACAAACGCCAACTCTAAGCCCTAAGGCCCTCAGCCCGAGGTGGTAACTCGCAAAACTTGCAAAGCCCGAAGCCAGGAAACCCTAAACCCTAAACCCCAAGTTCAAAAACGCCAACTCTAAGCCCTAAGCCCCAGGAGGAGGCGCTGAAGACGGCCCTGAGCCAGGCCACAGAAGGACTGCCGACCTCCAGTCCTGGGTTGTAGATGACTAGTTGACTCGTTAAGTACGGACGAAATTATTTACATACATCATACATACAAGTGATGTATATACATATGCACACACACACACACATATATATATATAGATATGTATGCACACTTGTCATGCATGCATGTGTATGTGTGCATGTATATTATATACATACACAAATTCATACGCTAATAAGCACAAACAAATATAGGTATGCTTTACCCAACTCCCACATGAATATATGCATAATTTTCTGCACGTATACATACAGGTACACAATATGCGGATGGACGTAAGCATGCTTGTACGAGGCGGTTGCCCGATGCAGCGGTTTTGGGGGCGTTTAGGGCTCGTGCCGGGCTTCATGAGGCGTGAGCTAGGATCTTAAAGTAATAGACTGCGGTAACGAAATAAAGGCTAGCCCACTCCAGGCAAGTCCGACATGGAACCCTGGGTGCAAGTCGATGATCTTCGAACCATCTGGCTGGTCCCTACGCACCGAAACCGCTGAACAACCCAAAACCCGTGAACAGTTTTCGTCCAAAAAACCTCGCGAAGCCTAAATGTAAATCCTTGAACTCTTCCCTCGTACATCGCCGTAAGCCTCTGATGAAACTCTAAGCCCCTGAGGGACCGGGAACCCTCAGTAAGACCTTAATATATATATATATATACACACACACACATACAAATATACATATATATATATATATATATGTATATGCATGTGTGTGTCTGTGTGTGTATGCAAGTGAATAATAAATAACCCTTAAAACAAAGGGGCCTGAAGAAGAAGAATCGCTGTTGAGGCTTCCCGAACTTGCATACTTCTAATGCAGGACCTAAGCATCCAGGCTTCCAGATTCCACCTCAAGCCGGTATAGACCCCTTAAGAGCTCTTCTAAAACTCTTGAGGAACTTGGAGGTTCTTGGGTAGTTGTAAGCGGGGTTAGATGTAGGGTACCTATAGTTACTATAGTTTTTAACCCATATTAGGGGACTTGATACCACATTTATAACTGCCCATGAACCTCCAAGAACCCTTGATCGAGCCCGGCCTGAATCCGAGTAGTGATGACCTGTGACAGTCCAAACCCAAACCGTTGAAAACCCTACACCTTCAACCCGAAAACCTCAAACCGAAAGGGCCCCAAACCCTCAGGCTTGTCCGAGTGTGAGTGTCAAAAAACCCTAAGCCCTAACCCTGAACCCCGGGAAAAAGCGTGAGCCCTAGAGAGGAGCCAGCCGTGCAGCGGCTGCCGCATCGGCTGCTGCCCTGGCCGCGGAAGAGGCCGCGAAGGCAGCGAGCGCAGGTGCGAGCCTTGGAGTTTCCTTTGGACTGAAGTTCAAGGCTAAGGATTTAGGGCTTTAGGGCTTTGGGTTTAAATAGGGTTTAGGATTTAGGGATTTATGTCTTTAGGGCTTAGGGTTTAGGGTTTTAGGGCTTGTTGAGGTTGTTGGAAGCGGCGAGCTGTATCGGGCTGTATCTTCAAGGACCCGATAATGGGAAAGCAGACAGCATAGTTTTGCAGCTCCTCTGCTTTTAGCTGGTACCATTGTGGTCTGTGCAGATGCCGAAGTGCAGAGTTCTGCAAATGCAATCTCCGACTGCCAAGCTGCCGGGGTTTCACTTGCAAACTTGAGTCTTTCAGCTCCGTGCATGTCACGGCGATCCTGAACAAGAAAGTCGTAAGCGGCGTAGAAGCTTAAGCTTAACCCAAGCAAGCTTCACCCAGCACTCACTCTTCGAGACGATCGCCTTGTAGCCTCTACATACTTGTACGATCATACACCCCAAAATCTTGTTCGAATCACTGAGATGGGGGCCCTTGCGAGTAAAGTAGGTTGGGCATACTACGGTACTTATGAGAAGCGGTAGGGAGCAGTGTCTGGAATACTTCGGGCTTCTATCGTATAGCTTGCATGGTAAATCCTAAACCCTGAACCCCTGTTACAGCCTGGATTGTCCGAGTGTGAGCGCCGAAATCCCTTTGAAAACGATCACTTTGAAAGAACCTCTGAAGGACCCCTTTAAAGTTTAAGGGTTTCCCTCAAAGGGATTCCGCTACAGGGTTCCATCGCGGTTCATATCGACTTTAAAAGGGGCCCCCCAACAAAAAGAGGTCCTTGGATTGCCAGGTGGGCCGAGGTCCGTGATTCGGTTCCGGCCTGAGACATCAAGCAGGGTGCAGGGCTTCAGAAGGTGTGGGGAGCTTTGGGTCCTCAAACCCCGAAGCCCGAAAAATCTCCATACCCTGATGGTATCTGTGTCGCCCTTCGTCCCTTTTTGAGGGCTGTGGGTTTGGGTCCTGTGCTCCCCCGGAGCCCTGAACAAAAAACATACATCTTCGAATGCATCCTCTGTCTTCTCTCTTTCCCCGGAGATGATGAACGCCTTCCGACCGCGACCTGTAACCCATGCAATGCGGGCTCGTCCTTGCGGATTAACATAGAAGTCTCAATAACTAGAAACATTATTTTGGGGGGTTCCTGATTATAACTATAGTATAACCAAAGCCCTATATACCCTAATTCTTAAGGCCCCTACATTAGGAGGAAAAAGCGCGTCGCATCGAAAGCTCCTTCCGCGCTGAGCCTGGCCGAGGAAGGACGAGAAGCAGGCCATGGAGCCATCCGATCGAGGCCTTGGCGTTTGTGCTTTTCTGTTTGGGGGTAGGGGGGGGGGGGTATGAGGGGTTAGGGATTCAGGATTTTGAGGCTGGACGCTAAACCCGGAACTTGGGGGAGATTGGGGGTTGAAGCTTTTGAGGTTTTTGGGCTTCGGGGGGTTTTGGTGCTCTCGAGATGATCGCCATCCTCGCTAGCCCAGTGTTGTTGTGTTTACCGTTGCTGAAACGCGCCAAAGCACCTTTCAGCTCCATGTGCTCCTGCAATGAATGATGCCGTGTGTGATTTCTAGGACTGCCTTTTTGTACCCCTGCCAGTATATGAGCACCCCGCGACCATGCGGTCAGCTGGCCCTATTCTTGCCACTCTGTTGCATGTTGAGTACGAGTATTGCCGATGCTCCAGCGATGCTCATATCATGATGTGCTCAATTCGCCTTCCAGCTATTCGTGCCCGAGTCAATGCGTCAATGCTACACTTGTTGGTCATACTTCCCATCGTACTCATCCTCGGTGCCACTCTATCAAAGCAAAGTCCTGTAGGCATGACTGACAAGGTTATATTGATCCTTATCGAGGGTTAGTAACGGTGAGTACCTCTATGTTTTTTGTTGCTGGGCTTCTCCTTCCAGCTATGACGACAATGACTCTAACCATGTTCCTCATTGGTTCTAGCCATATTCCCATGATTACTACGATGACTACCAGCCGAGTGGGCACCACTCAGAATCCCCTAAACCCTAAACCCTAAACCCTAAACCCTAACCCCTAAACCCTGCACTTTTGTGGCTCAACCACCAGGCCACAGGTCAACCGACGGCCTTTGCAAGATGGTCTTGGGATGGTATAGTCGTTTTGTCGCATAGATCTCCCGAGCGGAAGCAATGACTTCCGAACCATGTGAGACGAAAGCCAGAACCTTCAAATGTCGAGTGGATTCCAAGGGGAAAGCCACGGAGCTCCCCTTGCTGCGAGTCGGAGGCAGTGTGCAGGAAAATCCGCACATGCGTGCTTTCTGGGGCAGCACTATTTCTTTCTTCCTGGCGTTCCTTGGGTGGTTTGCCTTATCTCCGCTTAGCCTCGAGGTGGCCACAAGCATGGGTGTCTGTGAAAACCAAGTCTATCCGCCTGCAAGCGTGCCCACGAGAGTAGCTTACTTGACTTACAAGAACTTACAAACCAACTTACACTATTGCCAATATGGCGTCCAAGAAGTGGACGGAACACCTGCCGATTGCCACGAAGTGCCAGCAGATGCTCTTGCCGCGTCAGGCAGCCCTGAGGCGCGGAAGTACCGTCCCGAGGTCCTCTCCAGCTGCGTGTGCACGCCTGGGACACATTGTCAGCGTGTAATCGCCAACGCCGGAGTCGCGGCGGTTTCTTCTACCATCTTCGTCAGAGCTGCCTTGGGAACACTTCTGGAGAGGTTTGGGCCAGTCCAGGTCCAGGCTGGGCTGCTGACCTTTGGGGCTGTCTGGGTAGCTATGGCGGGAGCAATCACGGCGCCATGGAATCTTCGGTGCTGAGTAGGTACGCTTTAACCTTGTTGGGTGTAGAATATAAAGTTCTACCATGAACTGCCAGGTCAATCTGTTTTTGCGTAGGCTACTCAGCCCCAAGGAATTACACGCTCATCCGCTTCTTCATAGGTTGCGTGGGCGCAACCTTCGTTACGAATCAGTTTTGGTGCTCTTTGATGTTTGCTCCAAATGTCGTTGGCACTGCCAACGCTACAGCCGCCGGCTGGGGCAACTTGGGTGGTGGCGTGACGCAGATCTTCATGATGTCCGTGCTTTTTACTCCCATGGTGAATGCTGGTCTGGATCACAATACTGCGTGGAGAGTGGCAATGCTGGTCCCCGCAGTCGTCTTCCTGCTGTGTCTGGGACATTCGTGAATTTGTTTAATTTCGCATCGTATGCCCCCTAGACCCTAAACCCTAAACTGTTAGTATGCTTTCACAAGGCAAAGGACTGTACGAGCTTGAAAGTTCATCGAACCTTAGACCCAGAGCCCTAGACAGAGAGATGCGAGAGCATAAGGCATAAGCCCTAAGCGACGAATTCAGCAATGCAGAAGGCAAGAACTGACCCAAAGCAGCCCTGGTGTTGCAGCATTATTCATACGGTTAGCCAGAAGTAGTTCGTATTGCTATTGGTTTCATGTTTATCACCACTACTAGTGTTCTTAATAAGGTATTAGGCTATAGAATTATCATCGTTATAAGATTTTTTTTTCAAATTATTCGCGTTATTTGCATTCTAAATTCTACTGTAATTCTGAGTATAAAAAGCTTCTTAGAAAGCAGAGCTCAGGTGCGCCCTGGCCTTGAAGCTTTGTTGCTGGGATACGCCGACCTGCAAGCGCTTCGATGTGACAGTCATAGGCAAGACCAAGAAGCCCTCGTTTCTAGGCCGTACGTTAAGGGTTTAGGGAACTCAGGGCCGAGGGTCCAGAGAGTTTAGGATGGTTGATTTAAGCTTTAGGGTTTAGTGTTTGAGGTTTAGGATTTAGGGTATTAGGCCGTACGTGAAAGAAAGGACTGTGCAGGTTTTTCGCATAATACTAAACAAGGAACACGATGTGATTTTCGATGGAGCGCTTGAAGAGCAGCTCAGGTTACAGGACTACGTAGAAGTGCTGAAGGACGTCCGTGTTCTCATCATGATCTTTCAGTACTCGGCGTGTTTTGGCGCGGAGCTCGCAATGAACAATCAGCTTGCAACTCATTTCCGAACCTTGGTAGCAATAAGCGTCATTTTGCTGAGGACGCGGCAGCTAATTTTCAGAAAGAGCAGCTACTCCAAAGATCAGAGGACTGGGGACTTGGTAATGTAAGCTTGTAACCACATTGTGCGTAGGATAACCTCAATTACCGTATTTCAAGCCAGCAATTCTAGCTTACTGAATAAGTCAGCTGGTTCTGATCCTAAACGCCAAAATCCCTAAGTGCTATAGTTTACACCCTGATCCATCCTCCTAGCCAGCAGTAGCTACCCAAACCTCAGGTGACAGAGGGATCCTTCGTTTTCGAGTTGATAGCACAGCTTCATTCTATATTCCTTCACTCAAGGCCTAGACCCCAAACCTTAAACCTTACACCGAAAGGCCCATGACCCACGGTGACAACTAATACAAACTTGATGCGACCACTTGACTCAGGGGCTTCGGACCACCTGGACCCCTGATCCCCTGATGTCAGGGCCTAAATAATTACCTATACTATTTTGGGGTTCCTTCTTATAGTTATTCTAATTATAAAGGCCCTATATTAAACCTCCACACCCCCAACCAGACGACTAAGGCCTAAACCCCAGCAGCCTAGGCACTTCAATGGCCACCAATACTATTCGTTAGCGTTTCTGATTATGCTTAGGCAACCCTGTATTGTACAACCCTTAGAGACAGAATCCTTGCAGCAATTATTAATTTCGGCCCTTTGTTTCGCTGTAGGTACCTTATCATAACTATACTACAAAGCTATAAAGGAGCCCAAAACTAAGGCCCCTACATTACGGCCTTTTTTTGGCTGTAGGTACCTACTTCCAGCTTGGGGCCGGCGACGCAACTCTTTTGGCCGGGTGTTTTGGTCTCATGAGCCTTGGTTGTTGAAGAACTTCGTTTTGGGTAGTCTCTCTTGTTTATCCCAGGTTTTGAGTAGTTTTGGGTTTCTTGGGTAGGTTTTCGGTTAAGGGGCTTTGTGAAGGTGCCGATGGCCTGTTGCCTTCTTTTGGTGCTTCTACGGGGTGTGTGTTTGCGAGGGGAAGATTAAGCGGTTCAGTATTTAGTGGGTTGGTTGTTGACGCAGGAGTACTGAGTAGTTTGTGAGAAAAGAAGGGCCGAAGGCGGTTGTTCGGAGGATGATCCCATTGTCTTCGACGATTCTATAAACGTTTTGCGAGCATCTGATGTTTCTCAACGAGCTCCGCCCTGGACCCTAATAGTACGAGGTTTACAGCAGGGCTGGAAAGGCTTTGGGGTTCATATACGGTTTAGAGGTTTAGAGTCATATGGCGATTGCACAAGTCCTGATACAAAATAACTTGTTGTGTGTAGACTGCTTTGTCACAGTTGAAAACTAACTATGTTGGGGCGAGGGAACCCAGAGACTAGAACAGCAACCAGGTCTTACACTTTTCTGAACTCGTTGTACGCAGCATTACCCAATACAGAACGAACAAACTGTGCGCAATGACCTCGTAGCCCCAACTCTACAACGCTAAAGTTTTTATGACCTGGAGCCACAGAACCCCTAGAACCCTATGTTTGTTGCCCCGAGTCCCACTGTAGCGCTCTTCTGTGCAAAGCCGTACCCCATGACCCTGAGGTCCCACTGCACTCAACCCCTAAGAACATCACCTTAACCCGAAACCATGACTCTCACAGCAGACCCAATAAACAATAAGCTCGAAATTCGTAAACCCTAAACCCCAATACATATAAGAAAGAAAGAGAAAAAACAAGGAAAAAGAAGAGAGAAAAAAAAATGAACAAAAGAGAGAAAAGAAAGAAGAGAGAAAGGAGAGAATAAAAAAAGAGGAAAAGGAAGAAAAAGAAGAAGGGAAGTCCGATGATGATGAAGATGAGGGTGCCTCCCTAGGCATTGACACCTCCTCCAGGCTCACTCTGGGCAAAGCCTTAGGAGTGAACCCAAAAGTGACCCCCGTCGAAGCCTTCGCGTACTCCCTACAATGCAAGCATAAGAGAGGTGAAGGAACTCTGGGATGCTATACCGCGCAGCTACGTGCAACGTCAACCGGGGGGAAACAAAGCTAAACTTATTGTTTTCGGAGTTAACCCCCGCGCCACACGACTCCACACCAAAGCCAGCCGTGAGATGCCCCATGTTTTCGAATTACTCAAGACCTACGTTCAGCAGATCATGCCAGGGTTTCAGCACACATCTGTAACTATTCGAGAAAATTGTCATACTGAGCCCCATCGTGACACGAAAAACGTAGGCGAGAACCTCCTGCAAACATGGACAGATCATGAGAATGGCGGAGGATTATGGATTGCGGATAGCCATGGAGACGTTCCTAGAATGTTCCAGGGATCACGCATATTGGGCTCGGTTCAGGACCTCTCATCTCCGTTTAAATTCAGGGCCCATAGTACCTTACATGCTGCACAGCAGTGGCAGGAACCTAGGCGAGTTCTTTTGGTAGCCTTCTCTCCCCTGGGGACTTTGCAAACCTCGTCCTTTAAGGACCAGTCCTTACAAAGTCGTATCCCAGATTTCTTTTCGTCGGCTCAATATGTATCCTAATTAGGTGCTCGTCCTACGCGCCTTGCATTCCAGATTCACTGCAACTCACTAATTCCGAGTTCATGTATCTGCGAGCTGACTGCATGGTTCTGCCAACTGCGAGATGCCTTACCTCTGAGTGACAAACTCGTGTCATGTGTAATTCGTAATCTGCGGTTCTTAATTAATAGTTTGTTTGCAAGCCCAAATGCATAAAGCTGTGGCTTCGTCGAGATGGAGATCTTCGGCCGCTTGGTGGCAGAGAAAACGTAACAAAAAAAAACCACTGACCAAGTATGCCCACAGAACCACCGCCACCATTGCTGCTGCTCTCCGCCACACCCGACCGACCACACCGAGAGAGGCATGTGTCCGAAAAACCCCAAAACTTATTCTTGGAACATCTTAGGTTAATCCCATTGGTCGCCCTATCCTTCACATGTGTAAGTTCCTCCTTTGCTTACCGAGTGCCCTACTTCATGAGCTATCTGAGCTGTCTGTTTCACCACATTTCACCACATGGTTTCCAGCCTGCTTGAGGAGCTGAGGTGAAGAAAGCGGGTAAGCTGCTTTCGTCTGGAAAAATTTGACTCGGGGAGAAAGAAGACTGATTCGTCATTTCTTCTTTCCTTTGAGTGTCTGGTGTGACGATGGCGGAGTTTTGCTCCTCTGGAAGCTGATGCCGTGGATGAGAGGATAGCTTGCACAAGTAAAGGAGGAAATCGCAGCAGGAAGCAACCCGAGAGCAGCCTGAGATTGGTGCTAAGCCTGTGAAGGTGAAGAGATGGTTACAGTCCTGGTACATCCAAAAAGTGCAGATGTTGCAATACGTGGGAACGTCTGACAGAATCAACCAAGTGCGGATGTTGCAAAAGGGACACATCTGACTTAATCAACTGGGACTGGCCTGGAACCTTCGCGGGATCTCAGCAAGGGAGGATGTAAGCGAAACCGAAGCACGGCTTGGCAAAAGACGTGTTTTGTGTTACGCCTACGCCTGCTCCGGACAACCAAACGACTGCCTCTGGGGTTCCGTGCTTTTGGGTACGTATGGGAGTGTATGACTGGTGTGGATGAAGCCGGCGAACCGAACATGGCAGATGTTGTGAGAACGAACGCCAAAGAGGTTGCGAGAGAAGCTCACATGAAGAGGGGATGAAGCCATTTTGGCTTGTGAGTTTGCATGCAAGGGACTTCTCGCACAGCAAACTGCGAGTTCTTGATGATCTGTTTACTTTGGTGCCTCTATTAGGTGCCTCCCTGAGAGTTTGTTGTGTGAGAGCTGTATGTCCATACACTACTTTTCAACGTTGGTCTGCACGAACATCGTGAAGATTGCAATTAGGTGCATAGTTCAAGTTGCCCTTTAGACAACCTCGCCTGTGAGCATAGTTCGCAGCCATGCGAGAGGGAAAATACATATTGCAAGCCCTAAGGGCCCGACCCGATACCCGTCACAGTTAAACTTTCCTGGTTCAAAACGTGCGAACAGAATTTCGCAAGCACCCACACCTATATTTTGAGCTCCCTATTAAACCTCCCAAAGCCCTTTAAATCCACGGAACCTCAAGCACCCCGGAGAACCCCTTTAATCCCTCATTTGTATACGTATTACAGACCCCATCAAAGTCTATCTGCAAACCTAAACCCCAAACCCCAAAAAAAGAACACAAAAACAAAAATCCTGACAGAACCACAAGGACACAACGACCCTAAAAAGGAACCTCTTCGCGCGGTCCTTGGGCGGAGCTTCCAGCGACCTTTGCTTCCATCACTTTGGCTTCCGGGGCCGAATCTGGGTACAGCCCCTGGGCTCCTCATGTATATACTAGAAATAGAACACCAGGATAGAGTGGGATATAAAAAGATAAGGTTGCATAGAATACAGCATGCGTCTACAACAAGAACAATATTAACAACAAGATGCGGTAAGTAAATGGTAATATTGTTGAGAAGAATGATAACTTGATATTATATACATATATACATAGAGAGAGAGAGAGAAGTACATGCATATAACGAATACGGGATATCGAATACCTAAGCATAATAAAAGAATGAATATGAAGACACAAACAAGGTATATATATATATATGCAAACGTGACATTCGCGTAAGTGAAAGTATGTGCTATGTACTTGTATACATAAAGATTTACAACACACACACACACATATATATATATATATATATATGGTATCGATATATACATATACATACATACATTTGTACATGTGTGTGTATTTCTTGATATGTGTGTATAGTTTGTTACAGAATATTGAAAAGCATGTTACGCTCTGTGTGTGTGAGTGCATGTTTCAATCGTGCTCTTTGTGTTCCCATACAAGGGGTTTTGCAGCTGCATACGCTTTTTTGCAAAGAGCTTGCCACCAAGATAGTTGGCCCTGATAACGCGCCTTATAAATTCTGGAAAGCCTAATTTATGAAGCCCCATAAAGTCCTAATGAAACCCTATTCAAACCTGACAAAGCCTTGTAAGGCCTTGTTAAACTTCATAAAGCCCTGATGAAGCCTTACAAACGCTGCTCTATAGCGCATTAAAACCTCACAAAACCTGAACAAAATAACTTTTCTGATGCCTGAGAGGTTGTAAAGTCCTGCTTAAACATACATAGCGGACCCCTTGAAGGGCCTTAAAAAGTTCCAACAAAACCCTACAGGGCACTACAAAACCCCCACAAGCCTGATCAAGCCCTGCAAAGCCCTATAGAGTCCGAACCAAGCCCTTACAGCAGATAAAACACAGAACACCCGGACTGCCCGGATGTTGTTCACATCGCAGGTTCCTAGCGCTGGTCTTCGAGGCGATCTTCCTGCTCCCAAAGGAGGAGAAAGCAGAGTTTTTAAATAAAAGTTGCGTTTAGACAACCTTTATGGAGCCCTTGCAAAACTCTCATGTAGAGCCCTTTTCGTACCCTGTTCCAGAAAAGGGTTTCGTGTGGGGTCTGGATTCATTAGGTACCGTCTGGTTCTTGAGGAGAGCAGTGTGCAAAGTCTTAGCTTTTTTGCATGTAACCATATAGCAATCCGTTCCTAGAACGAGCTGTCGCGATTTTGAATCGCTTTCTGGCCTTCTCCAGTCATATCACAAGGCAGGATTCAGAAAGACGCGAACGCCTAAAACACCGGGTTTTGAGAACTTGAGAAGACGAGCCCAGGTTCGCTTTTGGGAGGGTGGACCACTCCCAGCCGTGGTATGTGGCCTTGGGTGTGTTGGTGTGTTTCTCATTGTTTGTGCAGATGGCTGAGGGCACAAGCTACGGAATTGTCCCATTCATGAAGCCAGATCAGCTTGCAGTGGTGTCCGCTGTGGTGGGAGCTGGCGGCAACCTCGGCGCCGTCATTGCCGGAGTTGGCTTCTATCAGCCCATTCACGACGCTCTACTTCCTTTCCAAGTTCATGCAGGCTATGTGCTATTTTGGGCACTCTTGAGTCCTCTTTATTACTGGCCCGACAAGGGCGGCATGTTCCAAGCACCGAAGGCATTGCCGGCGGCTTCGAAGTACAGCAAACCAAGCTTTGAAGAGACCGTGTCCACTGTGGCCACCAGCGCAGATGTCATCGGAGCTGTTGTGCCCGCTAGCGCCGTTGACAGTCCGTCCTCGAAAAGCACGCCACGAGCAGCTGAGCGTGGAGGGTTGTGCATGTGTGCCAAGTCCCTTTGTAGGTTGTAGTGTTGCAGCGCTGTTACCCAAATGGGTATGGCCTGCTTCCACTCTTCCCTCAAAGAGGAGGTTTAGTTTTTGCTGCACGGAACCAGAAAACCAGTGACCATTGAGCATGTCAAGCTTAAGGCCAGGCAGGGTTAGGATTCTTAGGGTTTACGGTTTAACAGTTTAACACTATAAACTTCTATCGTTTCAGCTGCAAAAAGGGAATGCCTGGGAGATCAGGCATGCACCCCATCGGACTTGTGGTCCTCGCCGACGACCAATTTCAGAAGCTGCTCGCTTCAATTCCTCGGGACATGTTGGGATCTCTGGTTTACCGCTTCCATGCTTCAGGGTTTTCGGGGTTTCTTGTTACCAATGTTTAGTCATGTAGGGGCCCCAAAAATTAGAACAAGGTTTTGGGGTATATCATACCATACTTACAATAAGGAACCCCCAAAATAGTATAGGTAATATTATTTAGGCTTCTATACTCAAGTTTTTTTCAAGGCTTACGCTCTCGCTACCTTGACTCCTCCAGACGAGGACGAGGCCTCTCAGTTCTCAGGTACACCACACAGCTATTGCAGAAGGCGCGGATCAGTTCAACACCGCAAGAGCAGCATTTCGACGCTTACAAGAGCAGGGCTTAGGGTTTAGTAGGGTTTCGTCCAGATCCCTAAACCCTAAACCCTAAACCCTAAACCCTAAACCCTACCTAAAAGCAACAACTGCTAAAATCAGCCCAGGCAGTATGGGACCCAGATCCAAAGTCTCCGATGCTATGCTCAGCAGCAGGGATATGACCTCTGGCTTCTGAATGGTAGTGCCTTTCCCAAGTGCATCGCGCCGCTCGGTCAAGATATGGCTACGACCTCAAGGATCAGGGTAGGACTTCATAGTGGCCTTGTGGTTTAGGGTCTAGAAGGGTTTCTGAGAGCACTTCAAGGATCAGGGGAGTTATAAAGTTAGAATTAAGTGGCAGTAAAGTAGGGGCCACAATAATTACCTATGCTAGTTTAGGGTTTTTTCAGCAGAACTGTTGCAGTCAGACGCTTGGTTTTTGGAAGTCTTCAGTAGGGTTTAGGTTTTAGGGGTTTGGGGATGGGGGTTTTGTTGAAGGCCTCGCAGCCCAACATGTCGCTGTAGAGGTAAGTTCTTTTCCAGTTCAGTGGGCTCGACGAATGACGGAGGTCCGCCGTTCGCGCTATGCCTCCTGATATTCTAGCCAGCGCTTTTCGTGCCCTTGCATTGCGAGACTCTTGATGATGGCACGGCAGAGAGAGAGAGAGAGAGATATATATATATATATATAGACCCCCAAACCCTATTCTAATTATTAAGGCCCCTACCCTAAACCCCTAAACCTGACACTTATCGCCATGCCAGCTTTTGCGAGTGTGTGAGTCGAAACCCCTAAACCCTAAACCCTATATTATGAATACTCACAAGATCAGTGGACTTCGTACGTAGCTTAGAAGTAGAGTTTCAGAGTCGAGGCGTCGGGGTTTGAGGAGTTTGATACTCAGCAAGCTGGGCGAGGTCAAGATAGCTGCCTCAGGGAAGACATGCTTGGGGCTTTAGGAGTCTTGGAATCTAGGGGTTTGGGACTTGAAGCATAGGATTTGGCTTCTGGGGTTTAGGGTTGAGGGTCTTGTGTCCAGGGTTTGGGAGTGCGAAGCTAAGCCATGTCTTGTCGAATTGACCTGTTAAGCTAAGCCAGCTTAACGGTTGTTTGGCGCATGTCGGGATATGGGATATGGATAGTTCTCGAAGCTATTGTCCCTCTTTAGGTCCACCAAATAGTACGGCACCCCTTATAAAGAAAAAACCCAAAAAGGAACCCGAATCGCCCTTATCCGTCGCTGACTTTGATGCAGGTTCCGTGGCGACTTCTTCTACCTGAAGCCCCTGGGCTGAACGGAACCGCGGGTTTGTTTCATGCCTGTTCTGATCAAAGGGTTCCAGGGGTGGGATGAGGGTAGGTGGTGTATTCCCACATGAGAGTCTGACATATTATAAGGGATCCTTAATCCTACTGTAGGGGCCCAAATAATTACAAATACTATTTTGGGGGAGCTCCTTGTTATAACTATAGTATAATGGGCCTTAAACCCTATCCTCACTATTAAGGCCCCTATATTACCCACCTTCATCTCACCTTTCGAGGTCTCCAATCTGAGAGGTTGTCTTGTCATGCCACAGGGGTTTCTGGGAGCAGGTTGAGCCAAACGCCAGGAGATTATGAACAGTATTGCTGGAAAAATGATGGTTCTCAGGGCGCTTCAGGAAAGTCCAAGCAATTTCATTCTGGCAGGGCTTGGAACGGACAGCTTTTGTTGTCCTTTTTCACCGGGCTTTCCGATTTCTTGAAGCACTGACCGTCCAGGCATGAGAACAGTGAAACCGGCCTACAGGTCCGGCTTAGTGACAGTATCTCAGTATCTCCCATTTGGGGGGGTTTCAGACAATAGGGGACCCTAATAATATAGTACCCTAAATAGAAGGACCCTTATTAGAAGGATCCCCCAAAACACGTACCCCTCATTTTCGGGCATCAGTGACCGTACTCCCATATGGGTAGTTCTCTAAACTAGGGTCCATGTTTAGGTCCCCAAGAAAGTACGGCATCCTTATAAAAAGGACCTTAAGAGGCACCCTAATTTAGAGAGCTACCCTTTTTGTTCTCAATTAGACAAGCAGACGACAGCTTACCCCGTCACCTCTTTCTAATTATTGAGACCTGTATGTTGACTCACACTTGTGAAGGACTCGGTATCAAGTCCTCGAAACGTCACAACACCCTACCATTTCATTCAACGCAATGCTCCAATCCTAAACCTCAAAACGTAAACCCTAAACCCTGTCGATATTATTTTTCTTGTTTACCAAGATGAATGTGGACATCACTCTTGGCACTTTACCAGAAGATGGTTTCGTCCTGTCCGCAGGCATTGTGCGGTTGCCGAGTTCCTGGAAACTCAGGCAGACGGGCAGCCCGGCCTTCGAGAAAGACTTTGCTGGGTGTTCCTGGGAGCTTGTTTTCCTTTTAGGGTAATGCAGGGGCCTGAATGATTGCCTATACTATTTTGGGGTTTCCTTATTATAAGTATAGTATAATGCACCGCGAAACCCTATTCTAATTATAAAGGCCCCTAGACTGCATGTAGATGCCCAAGGGGTTATTCAAGTATTGATTTTGTGCTCGGCGCAAGGCGCATAGCTGTTTTTCCTCTTTCCCCTTGAGGGTTTGTGGTTTTGGGGTTATGGACCAACGGAGGGTTTTGGAATTTCGGTGCTGAGCCATCGAAAGCATTGGGGTCGCTTGTCTGCGGATCCGTCTCATATGGACCCCATGAGCACGTGCTATGTTAGGCTTTAGGGCCCTTTGTAGGGTTCAGGGTCGGCTTCAGGGTTTTGGGGTTCAGAATTTCCTTTTTCAGGGGTGCCCGGCAGTCGCAGTATGCCTGGATGCAAAAAGGGTTCAGAATTCAGGGGTAGTGCCGCTTGGAATACCAGAATTTCCAGCATGGACGCCAAGCCCTTAAACCCCAAACCCATAAACCCTAAACCGTGATGACTGTGTGGTCTCAGACAGCCGACCAGTGAACATATGCCTCGTCTGGATTGTCCGAGTGTGAGCTCCGGAAACCGTGAGGAACAAAGGAGAATATAGGATTGACGGTTCTAGGGCCCTAAAGCCCATCAGCTCTAAAACCCTAAACCCTGAAAGCCCTAAGCCCTATACGTAAGCCCTAAACGTAAGCCCTGAACAGAAGGCTGGGCTTATCGTGGAGTTTCGAGACACCAAGCACTAGAAGCCCGAAGCTGAAGAGCCCTAGCCCCCGCCGGCATGAGCCCCAAGCAAAACCCCGCATGCTTTTGTGGGCTCCTTGTTCATAGGACATTAAATATCCGTATGTGTATGTATGTATGTATGTATGTATGTATGTATGTGTGTATGTATGTATGTATGTATGTATGTATGTATGTATGTATGTATGTATATATAATAATAATAGTAGTAATAATAATAATAGTAATAATAA